ATTATTATTATTATCATCATCATTATTATTCAGTATGCTTGAAAATGAAGAATCATGTCAAACTTGTTGTTTTCTGAACCCCCCATGATCTCTGACCTTGTTAAACTGATGCACGTGGAGAGTTTGTGGGTGAAGCTGAAGTACTTCCAGGTTTACAACAAACTGTCACCGCTTCAAACTATTATATATTATAGATTTTTTTCATTAAACAATATTACAAATGTATATACTGCACTGTCGTTATATATTTCCAGGAAGTGAATCAAATAAAAATTTTGTAAAGTGTAAATTTGTCTTTTCATTCCGACTTCTTGTCACGTGACCCGGAAGTGCTTCATGTTGCTAATGTTTGTAGCATCTGTGATGATGAACTCGTGTTGTAATGACCCTCCAGTGGTACTCACCGCCAGCAAATATGCGAAACGCGACAGTGTGAGTGCTACAGGAACAATTCTACCAGTATAACGATGTTAGTAAATGTAGCGGTACTAGCAAATGTAGCCTTACACTGATAATTCATAATGAAAGTTGCTGCTACATCATGGAGAGGATGAGCTGCTAACAGGAGCTTCTCTAAGTAAGACTTCTTAACTGCTAGCTAACAGTGGAAAGCACCAAGTAAGGCGCAGATACACGTGAGGAGCTCAGTGTAATTGTGCTTTTGTCTGTCACGATGTTGCTGTGTAGATGTGTTATCTTCAATAGTGTTGCCAAGTTAAGAAAGCAAACAGCTTTGACACAAGTCAGAAGATTTATTCAGTGGAAAATGTCAGACGGTTTAATGCGAGATGGAAACACAACCACAGCAACTGTCATGGCTACTAAGAAAAGGAATCTCAGTTTTCCCTCTTCAAGGTGTCTGTCAAGGTCAGCCGAGGAGGCAAAAGCTCGAGTGAAGAGAGTTTCAGTAGAGGGCAACATTGGTGAGATCATTATAGCTTCTCCACGCTTCCACCAAACTGCTTGTGCTAAGCTGTGAGTGCTGGTAATGATCTGCTTTATGTTCTCCCAAATTACAGCTGTTGGAAAATCAACCTTTGCAAAACTCCTGCAGTCGGCTTGTTCAGACTGGGAAGTGATGGCAGAACCTATCGACAAGTGGCAGAACATCAAGAGTGAGACCTCCAAGGTGGGCACAGTCACCTCTTCATGTTTTTACAACAAACATTAGAGGAGGACAAACTGATATCCAGCATGCAACAGAAGGGAGTACACCTCATGTGCAGCATTAGTTAAATGTCAAAGGATTCAGCATTTCATTGCCTTACACCAATTGCATTACTCCTAAATTCAGCAGTATGGTATTTGCTGTTATGTAAACAGTTTGTATTTGGGATAGGCTCCAGTCCCCCGCGACCCTAGTGAGGATTAAGCGGCGTATAGATAATGGATGGATGGATGGAAAAATACAGATCCCACAGTAGTAATCAGTAAACTTTTCATTGTTTAGATCCAAATCTTTCATTTCTTTCAATACTCCATATCCTTCTTTAGTTTTTAAGACGTACACAATTCTCCTTAGCGTTGAGGATACTGAACTTCTGGAGAGATGTTCTGTTATTTGTCTGTTTTTGTTTTAGTGACTGTTTGCTGGAGGTGTAATCTTGCTCTACTTTTCTCTTTAAAATGCCCCAGAGGTGATTAATTTGATTCAAGTCAGGATACATACTTGGCCAGGTCATAGTTTCCCTTTGAAACTCTTGTGTGGCAGTGTGTTTTGGATCGCTATCGTGCTGGAATAATCCTCATCTGCCACACTTTGTTGGCCAGTATTTTAGTATATCCACAGACATTCATAGTACCATCCCGAAGTGTCACATGCTCAGCACCTTTTGCACCCATTCAGCTCAGTATCATGACACTTCGGGACTGTCCATTCTCTGTGGTCCTGGCTGATGAGTGGTAACACGACTCGTTCTTGATCACTGCTGCAGCTGCTGTTCTTTGTCACATTTTTAGTTGGCTTCCCAACCTCCTGTATTCTTTTCCATTTCTGTGAAGTCTCACAACCAGATTTTTCAGTTCCTCCATCAGTTTATTTTATTTCATTTTATAGCCATGTTCACACAGTTAGGCTAATTGGAAATCACACCTGTACACTTTTTTTTTTTTTTAAACATTGATAGTGATAACAGATGTATTTACTTTTTCACGTTGAGTTTCTAGTTTGCGGCCTGTATTTTCAATATAGCATTTTAAAAGTGTCTCTTCTTGATTGTCCACAAGAGGAAATACTGTGACTGTCCACTTAGAAATAATGGAATCATTGAGAAATGGCACAATGTTAAATCACACAGAGGTGTAGTCAACTTTGGTGAATACTGTATCATCAGTCTCCCTGCTTGTGTCTTTAACAGGGAAGCGATGCGCCTCCCCAGTCGACTGTGAGCAACCTGCTGCAGATGATGTACCAGGACCCTCAGCGCTGGTCGTATACGTTTCAGACGTATTCCTGTATGAGCCGGCTGAGAACACAGCTGCAGCCTCCTCCAGCTCGCCTGCTCAACCTGGAAGGAACACCTGTCCAGGTGTATGAGCGCTCAGTCTACAGCGACAGGTGAGTGGTCAGGGCAGGACCATGAAAATGAAATCGCGTCGGGGGTCTCTAGTTCTGGGTCCCTGAATTAATTATGTGGTGAGAATGTTTTACCAAAACGATTTCAAAGAGCCTGTGATTGGCAGCTGTAGACTTACTGTTCCCCCCAAAGAATCATGTTATTACAGTATTATTACTGTAAATAATTAAAGGTGTGATCAGGGTTGAATATGACTTTATCAGCTCATTGCACAAATGCATCCCCCTTCATCATTTTTGCATAAACTTAAACTTGATTCTGTTTTGTCAGATACATCTTTGCTCTCAACATGTTTGAGCTGGGCTGTATCAACACTACAGAGTGGGCAGTCTACCAGGACTGGCACTCCCTGCTGGTGGAGCAGTTTGGACACCAGGTGGAGCTGGAGGGCATCATTTACCTCAGAGCTCCACCAGAGGTATGAATTCGATATTGCATGCTCTGGATTTCTGATGAAAATGAAATGACTCATAACAGTTTTGTATATCTCTCAGAAATGTATGGAGCGTTTGGAGAAGCGGGGAAGGACAGAGGAGAAAGGAGTGCAACTGGACTATCTGGACAAACTGCACACTCAACATGAGAGGTGGCTGGTTGAGAAAAGCACCGAGTGAGTGATGATGAGATCACATGTTTGTGTTGTTTGTGCTCTTCATGCCTTCATATTTTGAATATTTCCAGTGACCACTTAAACATATAGAGTGAAATATTTAAAGATCTTCCTCAAAAATCAAGTTTTTATGTTGTGCAGATGAACATGTGGTGTTTTTTTATATCCTGGGAGACATATTGGGAATGAAGGAAGCCATCAACGCCATGGCTGAGCATTTCTACCTTGACAATGCAGCATTCTCAAAAACACACAGTCAGACTTCTGGGGTTTCATATGTAATAAAGCTAAGAATCCAGTCCTGTTATCTTGAGGTGGAGCTTTTTCTATCAGTATTCTTCAGAATCGAGGAACGCTGAATTGTTGAGAGTGCAGTTTAACAGCATAAATAGCAAGAAAGAAAAAAGAAAAGTTGACTGCGTTCATCATTGATTGTCCAAAAATTGTAACAACCAGGAATCAATACATTTTTTGAATAGCCCACAGATGTTACCAATACCAAGAAAAAAACTATTGATTCTACACACTATAGAACTTTTACTGCTTAAGTCATTTCCATACTTGTCTCCTTGATCTACTCTGTGTAAACACAACCTTCAATTCCCCTCAGTTCAGCTTAAGTCCTTTCATTTTTGTAACTGTTGGTTGCAGCCCAATCACTTGTGGCCTCACGGTTACACCACAGGGCACAGAGTTTGTTTTTTACAGCTTCTGATAAGAGCACATATGCAGTTCTTGGCACATTTTTAAGGCAGATCAAAACTGTTGATGAAATATCCTTATTTTAAAGAAGAAAATCCAATGATTGATTCTGTTTTCCCCATTTCCAGCTCTGATAAATAGTGTATTCTTGATATTTTTTTAAAAGCCTGTCTTTCAAACCTTTTGCAGGGTTTTGTGTTTCAGAGTTAAATCAATGACTAGAGAGACTTTAAAGTTACTCTTATTAGTTACAGGATCGGTCCATCTCATCAGAATGCAGACATTTTGTTCACATTGTTAACATAAAATAAACATACTGTATAAACAAACTGTTTTAAATATTGATTTGCAGCTGTTATGACATGGTATTAATCTGGCCAGAGTCTGACGTGAAATGATGAAACAAAAGATGATCCTCCTGATGCTCCTCTCAGATTTTTGTTTGACAATCACTTTTTTTTTAAAATCAGTTTCTTTGCAGCTGTTTGTTGCCTCTCTGTGAACAGATGACGGTCAGCAGTGTGTGGTCTGGAGACTCGTCATAAAGTGTCTGATACAGCTTTGCTCTCTCTTTTCAGAGTCCATTTTGAGAAGTTAAAACAGATACCTGTCTTAGAACTCGATGCCAGCGTGGAGTTTAAGAGCGATCCAGAGGCGCGGGAACAATTTATTACAAAGGTATGTTTGTTTGCTGTATGCCTTTTTGACCTAACAGCTGCTGTGCCAGAGTCGACCACATGAGGGCCCTGTTCTAGTGTTTAATGCACCGTTTCTCAGCCCGACATTTGTCCTGACATGTTTTTGTATTCTGATCGGATGTTTCTGATCCACTGTGATCCTAAAGTACCTTTTCATACGCAGGTGAAGAACTTCTTCAATGCTTTATGAGAAGTTGGTCGTCAGCAACCGTCCACTGTTGGAAGGAAACCGCTCGGACCTCATTCAGTCAATCGTGTTGACATTTAGCTAACATATAGATACATCAGCGTTTCTTCAAGTGAAGGAAGTACAAAGCAATATAAGACACACTTCTGCAAGACCGTACTACATGAAACCCAAAAACTGTTTGTCTTTATATGAATGTGTTACTTCTTAGCATTCTACTGCTACGTTTTATTTCCTTTTTTTTTCATTTATTTGTTGTGACGCATGGTTTATTTATAAAGTTACTGCTTGAACTGTACTGATCATTTCTACTGAGATCTTCAGAACTAAAAATAGCTCACAAATGTCACTGAAATACAGTCAGTACAGCGATTTTAAAGATTTTATGAAGCATAAAGTAAATCTTTACGAGAACAGTTGGAAATAAGGTTCACTCTATAAGTAATGTTTTACATATTTCTGGAACAAGCATATAAAGCAGGTCATGTTTCAACCTGTTAATAAATAAAAGTGTGCTTTTTGTAAACTATTGTATTTGTTGTTTTATTCTTATAATCCTTGTTTGCAGTATTTGCTTTACGTTGCTATTGGAGAGGTGCTAACGGTTGAGCAATACATACATTTAATACACATTTACATTTCAAAAGGATTCGGTTTCAGACTCACTACAAAAGGTCAGGTAGTTTGGCGGGACAATGACCTTGGCTAAATGTTTGCTTTTCTCCGGCCCTCTGATGTGCTCTGGTGATCAGAGGGGCCGTTCAGATGCCTGGAGTGGTCAGGGGTCATCAAAGGGCAGCTGTCCTCTATAAAAGGCCTGTCTGGAGCTCCGTCTGCACGGGGCATCATTTCAGCCTGAGACCAGCTGGAGGAAGGAACAAGATCTTTGCTGCTCTCTCATTCTCGTTAGATTCTTGTGAGTTTAAAATGGAAGTCCTTACAGTTTTCTGCACACTGCTCCTCTGTTTTTCTGGAGCTGTTTTCTCCACTCAGGGCCACAGATATCACACAGGACCCGAGAGCAGCTTAGCTTTCAGAAATCTGTCGGGTAATCATCGAGGCAGATATCCTCTGTACATGATGCAGCTGTACCGCTCCTTCAGGACCGCTGATTTCTCCTCGTCGTCGGCTGTCAACGCCGATACTACGCAAAGTGACGACCTGTCGGCGCATGGATTTGATTCTGTCCTAAGTCTGTTGGCCAGAGGTGAGTAGACGGGATCTAAAACATGCTATATATTGTGTGGAATAGTTTCTTTTCATTGCATTCTGTGGTTGGTGCATTATCTGTGTTATCAGACCTTCCCTTTTTTACAGCCCAGCAAGTGTCAAAATGCTTATTCAGCTTTAAAGGCTCTGTTTTATGTGTGTGGGGGTGTATATTAGCCCTTAGACGTCCCTGCACAGGGGGGTCCAATACACATCCTGTCCTCTTCACCCTCTCACTCCAGTGTTGTGACATTTGTCCAGGGATCTGCTTTGCCCAGATGCATCCAGACTCCTGTTTGCTGATTGGAATTCTCATCTACGTGTCTCATTTTTAGGTTGCCATCAAGTGGGCGACAGATGGACAGTCACATTCGACATGTCATCCATCTCTACCAGTGAGCTCGTCCAGCTGGCAGAGCTTCAGATCAGACTACCAGCTTTCTCTGCCTCTCAGCGTGCCACCGTGGATTTATATCACTCCCGGAAGCAGAGCTGCGATGGGGACGGCGCATCGTGTCAGGAGGAGCAGCTTTTCTTGGGGAGCTTTGACACATCACCCAGCAGCGCAAAGTCTTCCTGGAAGGTGTTTAATGTGACTGCTCTTTTAAAATACTGGCTCTACCAGGGAGATGAAGTGCTGAACCAGGAGGCCTCAGGAGAACCAGATGCTGGGAGCGGTGCTGGGGATGAAGGGAAGACGACTGAGAAGTCCCTCTTCAAAAATTTGGGATTGAGGCAAAGAAAAATTCATCATCCAACCACAAACCGGGTCATGATGGTCGTCTTCTCCAAACAGAAACAGCCCGGGGAAGGCCACGAAGCATACAGCCTCATGCATACTGTGGAGAACTCCAAGTACGTGACCACGGACAGAGTCAACGGTGAAGGTCAAAGTCGGCGACACAAAAGGAACAAGATGGAGAGGCTGCGAGTGGCTGAAGGAGCTGCTCCCACTGTGACACCAGCAGCCGAGCCGCTCCAGAAGCCGCTGTGTCGGAAGGTGGACATGTGGGTGGACTTCGAGCACATCGGCTGGGACGAGTGGATTGTGCATCCTAAGCGCTACAATGCATTTCGCTGTGAGGGAGAGTGTCCGGCACCACTGGATGAGTCCTTCCGTCCCACCAATCACGCATACATGCAGGTAAGATGACGACTGGACTTTTTAGTCCCACTAACTTGTGAAAATCTTTAACAATCATCAGGTTTTGAGGAGTTGCCTATTGTGCCTAACGCAGATGACTATTATCATTTTCAGAGCCTCTTACGACATCACCACCCAGACAGAGTGACCTGTGCGTCCTGCGTGCCGACACGCCTCAGCCCGCTGTCCATGCTGTACTACGAGAGCGACGATTTGTCACTGCGGCATCACGAGGACATGATTGTTGAGGAGTGCGGCTGCCACTGAAGACCCGCCATCACATCACCGCTGACACAGAAACTTGAACTTTATTGCAACTGTTGTGATGTAAACTGTACTATTAAAATATCAAACTAAGAGTTCCTCATCACAACAATCAGTAACAGCAGACTTGTTAAGGTGGAATGACTCAAGATTATTTTCAGTGCTATTGAAACATAGTGTTCTTTATCTTTAGTAAGAATTAAGCACAGTTCTGCAAATGTTATATGTTTTATCCATTATTTACATTATCTATTTATACACTATCATGTATATTTTGTACATAAAATATGACAAATATATTAAAATGTTTTATTTTGACATACATGTGCTGTTTTGTGTTTTCTTTTTCTTTTTTTGGACTCAGCTCTTTGAATATAAAGTGCTTCATTTTCTGAGTTTGTTGCCTTAAAAATATATTTACCAGTGGAAAATTGATAAAAGTACAAATTTCAACAACCATATTGTAAAAGTAAAATATGCAAGTGCTATAAATTAAGTAATATTTGAGCTTTAGCTTAATTTAAAGAGTATTTATTTGCATATAAGATTTCACATGGGGCTGCAAGGTGGCGCAGTTGGTTAGCACTGTTGCCTCGCAGCAAGAAGGTCGCCGGTTCGCATCCCGGTGGGGGCACCAGGATCCTTCTGCGTGGAGTTTGCATGTTCTCCCCGTGCAGCGTGGGTTCTCTCCGGGTTCTCCAGCTTCCTCCCACACAGTCCAAAAACATGTTGAGGTTAATTGGTGATTCTAAATTGTCCGTAGGTGTGAATGTGAGTGTGCTTGGTTGTCTGTCTCTAAGTGTAGCCCTGTGATAGACTGGTGACCTGTCCAGGGTGTCCCCTGCCTTCACCCTAAAGTCGGCTGGGATAGACTCCAGCCCCCCCATGACCCTAGTGAGGATTAAGCGGTGTATAGATAATGGATGGATGGAATTCACATGGTTATATGGTATGGTTTTTCTACCAGTTTTATTTTTGAATATATAAGCTGCTAGTGGCAGCTTGTTTTGTGTCAGTGTTATCTGTAGACACTTACATGAATCTATAGCTAATATAGAGAATGAAATACATACACTTTGCTCTTCATGTGCTTGAGTTAACAAATGTGTTTGGATTAACAACAATCGCTCTTCAGAGGCTCAGTCTGCGCATCTACATCTTAATCCCACTTACCACAGTTTAGTATATTTGCCTTTCTCACCTCACCAATCCACATCATGGGCCTTTTACAGTAAGCCCATCATCAGAGGTCATTAGTGTCCTCCCGGTCAGGCGTCTTTTGTTGATTGTGATCAACAGGCACACTGGGTGGAACGACAAAAACCATTCTGAAGGATGGATCAGCGGGGGAGAAAAAAAGCAGTAGTACTTGTTTATCTTGGAGAGGAGGGGGTTGGAGTGTCAGGAAGCAGAGGTGACAAGGGGATATTTAGACCCCAAACAAACAGAGCAATGCGAGGGAATGCAAAAGACTCAGTATGTGAAGGGTGAAGCTACTGTGGAGGAAAGACAGGATGAACTGGAACTGCTCAGCTGAAACTGTTCAATCCACACAATCCAGACAAGAGTCTGAATTCACGTCCAACTTTCAGGTTTTTCAGCTCAAGCCTTTTCCCTAATGCTACTACCTTTTAGCGTTTAACCACTTAGAGGCTTATATAATCAGAATTAAGTGGTTTTTATGCTTAGTTCTTAAAGTTACTGTTTGTGCTCAGGGGTTATACTATGACAACGTTCTGTAATGGGCCTTTTACAAAAGCAAAAAAACACAGTAACAGGAGAAACATCATGTGACAGTTCTTATACATCCAACTAATCCTGAACAAATGTTTCACTTTACCAGAGATAGTTGCAAAGTTTGTCACAATAATGATCTTGTCTTACACTATATGTGATTTATGATGATTTATTTTGTGAATTAATTCAGGATGTATTATTAATTGCTCATTAATAACAAATGATCTGTAATTTTATGTAATTAATACCTCATCAATTAAAAAAAAATGTAATTTCACACTTATTCTACACATGAATTAATATGCCACCAAATTAGCTGGATTTCAGTTGTATTTAAAGCTTGTGTATTTGCTTCAGCGCCCACAGCCCCTCCGACTACCACCTCAGATAACCCATTCATATGCATTCACACCAGGCAAGGTGGGTGAAGTGTCTTAGTGTCTTGCCTAAGGACACAATAACCATGATACAGGCTACAGGGTGGAATCAAACCGACCCGCTCTACTACCTGAACCACAGCCGCCCCTTTGCTTTTATATCACTGCCATCCGGCTTGTGTAATCATTTGAAATGCTTCTGTTCGTCTTTTTCTGCCACAGAAATATGTCATGCACATGATCAGTGAACTAATAAGCAGGTACTTCAGGCCTCAGAAATTCACCAAACCTTGTGATCATCACTTTAAGTCCCCGTATAATTTATGGTTTAGTTATACCGATTTATTCTTTTGAGAACACGGAGATCTAAAGCCTCTCTTTCTGTGAGAGACTGCAATGGATAGGTCACCGGTCCATCACAGCCCGAACAAAGCTGCTGGTAGTGATAAATGAGGATAATTTAGTTACCGATCCACCTGACTTGCAAATCTTTTGGAAGTGGAAATACACAAAAGAACTTGGAGAACGTTCAAACAGTAAGGAGTGGTGCTGCCAAGGAACAGGTGAGTAATTTAGTGCAGCACATCCATCTGTTCAAGCACTTTTATTTCATCCAGGTGCTGAAAAACCTCAGATAATGAAATCTTCAAAGTGAAAGCCACTTTACAATTAACTTAGAAAAACGCAGGCACAGTGAATCAACAAGGTGCCAGGGATGGAAGTGGAAATGTTGAATGGAAAGAAGGAGTTTCTCCCAGATATGTGCAGTTGTATATTGACCTCTCTTTATACAGTCCACTGACTGAGGTTATCAGCCACAAGTGAGCTGCTTGAGGAATTCTTCTGATAGGACTTGTGCTGAATCAGGGCATCACAGCAGGCTGCTGAGCAAGTCACCACAGATTTATCACTCTGAAACGTATATTAGCTTTTTACGTGAACATTTTAACTGCAAAAAAGTGCAACTGTG